GGGGGTGTTTTGTATTGTGACAGCTGCTGCTGTCAAAAATTAAAAAAAAACAGCATAGGAATAAATAGCTAGATTCCTATTGGCTATTTCAATTTGCAATACCAATAGCAAGCTGGCTATTGCACCCACCCTCTGCTGCTGTCAATCACTATAAGAGGACCTGATTGAGAACTTCAGGTCCCCCTTTGCTGATTGACAGTAGCAGTGGGCGGGTTCAATAGCTGCTTTGCTATTGCAGAGTGAAATAGCCAATGGGAATCTAGCTATGCATTCCTATGCTGGGTTTTTTTTTCTGACCGCCGGCGGCCCCGATGTCAGAAAAAAAAAGAGCAGGGAAAGGTTTACTTTGCTCGATTGAGCAGAGTAAACCTTTCCGGGAGAAAATGTTTCTCTCCTGGGAAGCCGGGAGACGCTATCTAATAGCGGGAGACTCCGAGCATCTGGGAGAGATGGGATGTCTGCTACTACCTCCTGGGATAGCTATGGACACTCATCCCAGGAGGCAGTTTGTGATATGTCACGCATACACAGAGATGCCACGAGTCTCTGTCAAAAGCCTGCAGTGTGTCTGCACGTGTAGAATAGTTCCAGGTGTCAATGGCAGCATTACTTTGACAGAGACCAGCACTGTATCTGCACACACACGATACAGTTCAAACTGTCTTCTGGGATGTGTGATGTAGCTGGGAGTCTCTGCCAGTAGGTTTCTGGTAGTTCTTATATACCTGTCAGAGAATAGCGGCAGGCGGCACATGCAAAGGGGATCCAGTGCATGTGCTGACACACTGCAGGTCTCTGCCAGGTCCAACAGAATGCACTGGATCTTGTTTCAAGATGGCAGGGTGGGAGCTGAGCAGCGCAAGAAAAATCTTGCCTGCTAGGAAAACTCCATGAACTCGAAAGTATGTTATGCAAGTTTTTTTTTTTTTTTAGACAGAGACAAGTTTTAGGGATTTAAATTTCATTTAACTAAATAAGGTAAAGATCCTATTCCTTAAGTTCAGCCTTAAATGTTACACATGACTATAAATGTCACAGTGGTAGCAAAATCATTCAGAAAGAACCAATCCACTCTATAACGTTTCTCTCAAAAGATACAGCCACTGGTAATGTCCCACCATCCCTAAAGAATTGTAAGGAACTGGCAAGCTAAGAATAAAATAATTGACAAACACAGCATAATAAAATTGCAAACACTGTTAATTTGTATTTATCACAAAAAAAGGAGAGATCTTTTCGTGCAAATCTGTTATTCGGCACTATTCTAGAGCTGGGTGAATATTTCTGTATTACTAGAGGTAGAAAAAGACAATAAAGTTTTTTTTTCTTATAATTAAAATAAATAATTCTTATTTTGAACACCAAGATGCATCATATGTAGATATATATACCATTTACCCATTTTCTATTTTGTTTTACAGGCATAAATAAAACTAACATTAGCACACATGGTCCATAAACAGAGAAAGACATAGCTTACACTTCAGCAGCTCAAAAATTAAACAAGTAAAAATATATATAAAATAGTATAAAGTAATAAAAGTTCACATAGGAATGCCATTATATTATTGTGTATCAATATTCCTCATCACCCGTGGCAATGTAGCAGGGAAGCTTGTATATTACAATGTCATCTAGCAGTTAAAGGAGGGTGTATCAGCCATGGGTACAGTTTTTAATTACAACAGACACCTTTAAAGCAAACTTGTGGCTATATATAAGCTAGGACACCACACTTTCCCCCAATAAAGGGTTGTCCAGGTGCCAGAATGTCTGCTTGGATTTTCAGTACAGGGCTCAAACATGCAGCCATCTTTCTGATCACCAGCACTGCCTGCTGAGTTTATTGGTTAGTGAGGCCATCTATCACAGTGATGGGCCAATTACAAGGCAAACCCTGGAAAAAGCTGTCATAATGCCCTAGTATTGGGGGCTCATGGGGCACTCTGTAGTCTAGCTGGGATGCCTTCACTACAGAGTAAGAGGGGTTTTCGCATCATTATTACCACCACAGGTCACCTTTAAATTCCACTCCATTACTGTAGATATTTTCAGCACTTCACAACTTGTTCTTTCATTTTAGTTCTTTTACACACTGTATGCAAGGAATATGGTATAAATAAAGAGTCGACTAGTACTAAAAAGGGTTTATGTCAGATGCAATATGCAGTCTGGTGTTCTGGAAAGGGGACCTGATATTTTAAACTTTCAAGGTAGGCTGCCTGCCTGACAGAAGTATGATATGGTGTTATCTAGATACTGGGCTATTGTGGAATCATTTTCTCCGTCAATGACCTGGAATAGAAAGTCACAGTGAAGCCAGAACTGATCCACATACTTGTTTCAAGTCCGTGCTATTGGAATAGCACAACAACCAGAAAACTAATATTTTTTCAGATGAAAAGGTCACCATATTCTCTCCATGCAGGTTCCCTTCAAGTTACTGCATATGCAGATTTTGTTTTGAAAGATATTTCAATCAACATGGCTGGCTATTGCTCAATAGTATTCTATAGCTGCTACTGCAGCTGTGAAGGAGGGGGTGTTTGTTTGTTTTATTTCCCTACTAAAGATGTATTACTGCTCAAACAGTCACCTGAAAAATATCTAACCTGAACAATACCACATATCTGTCATATTTGTCTACCAAGCTACGGATGTTTGTCAAGGTCTGGTGCCAAAACACACCATCACCCATTTGTGATAAGCATCTCATGTCTTTAGGGTCCTTTTATCTCCCAGATTTCTTTGATAACACCAATGTAATGTAAACTTATCTTATTAGATTAAATTAATTGCCCCAAACCAATTAATTGGTTATGACCATTACTGTAGTATCTGGGGCAACAAAAATGGGCTCTGGATAAAACAAAATTAGTCATTTTTTTTACTAGTGTCTCTAGAGATGTTATGTACACATGCATTACCACATTAATTAAATACACAAAATGTCAGATAACTTTGTTGTAATAAAAAGCAAATAGATGATATATTCAAAATAAAACCATTGCTTTCTATCACCTACTTGAGTTCACCAGGGGGGATATCTGATATTTTTTTCTGCTCGTCAGCTACAAAATGCACAGCAGTGAAGTAGGTGCACATTCTGTCCCCTGTGGAAGATAGGAGGTGGTTGCCATGGAAACCGCATCCACTAAAATAAGAATTTCAAGGATGCTCCCGGAGCATTTCCGTTCACACAGCTTAACCATTTCACTGCACGCCCATAGTAATTAAAATGAAACATCACTAAGACTGGTTGAAACATTTGCCATTTTGTCTAGCTATCACAAAATTGAGAAATTGGAATGTGTGGTTCTTGGCAAATGGGTGTCACATCAAAATAGCTTGTGGTGTGTAAAGGGAAGTTTGGAAACAGCACTATCTACTGAAGAAAAATCTGGGACTTTTGAAAATTAAAAATTTACCCCAAATCCAGTATAGGAAATTTTTTTAAATGTAAAATAATCTTTTATTTAAAGCAAGTCCACTGGCCCTAATATTGCTGCTAATTGGGCAACACCTTGGCTAAAGGGTTAGCATTCTTGTTGGGTCCGGGGTTTCGATGCTAAAACTAGCTATATAGGGCAATATCTGCATAGAGTTTATACATTCTTTGTGTTATTGTTGGTTTCTAATGGTTTCCTCATACAATTCAATAACATTCAGGTAGGTTAATTAGCTTCCTACCAAATGTTGTCTGCTGCGTAGTGTAGTAAGAACATTAAGCTGTGAGTTTCTTCAGGGGATGAGACTCTTGTGATATTTTCTGGATACCCTGTAAAGGGCTGCACACTACATCAGTGTTGTAATAATACTGGAAATAAATAATACAAAAATTTTTTGCATTTCATGCAAACTTACCTTCATCCCCTGGCTCTTCCCAACTTGTCTTTTCTCTTCTTCATCAGCTTTATTCCCTATCAAAATCTTCTGCACTCCATCAGGTGCATACTAAAAAGTAATGAATATATATATTAATTATCCGGATGCCTGAACGTTAAATAGTAAGAACATACTATAGCTTAGGTCAGGGGACAGACAACCCGGGAACTGATATTTTGGTTATATGTTGCGACCAAATCAGCCACCAATGTCATGTATGCCTTAGGGACTCCTGCAGTAAGGTCTTCTTGCAGAAGGTGGCAGCTCTGTCTAGAACAAGAATCTCTTTGCTGGAGTCCTTAGGAGTTATGAAATGGGGACTGGGACTCTTTTCCTGATCTATGTTTGCAAGAGTGGAAACATTAGGGGTCTGTTTACAGCCCCTGTGCCTCTTTGACTGGCCATAATACCCAGTAGTGAGTCCACAATAGGGGAGATGAAGGAGACCTAGGTTTGATCATCAGGTGATCACTCCAAGAACCTTCCAGAAAGGAATACATTTCTCTAAGCGTAATCCATGTATACTGTAATACAGGAAGCATGTCTGCCTAAAGATGACATACAGTTTAAGAAAAGTACAAATAAATCTATGGAGCCGCCGATCGCCTATATGTGAAACACCCGGTAACAGGTGTTTGCATTGGTCGGGTCTTTTCTGCCCGTGCATGCCCGCTAGGGGGCGCGCGCAAGCAGAATAAAAAATGCCGTCTGGAGATGGCAACCCGCCAATGCAGCAGTGCCGTCCATCCGTTTTTTTACAACGGGCGGACGGCAAGAGGTTAAATACCTCGCAATAAGAAGCAAAAAAAAAGAGACATGCACTTAACACATACAGACATGTACATATACTTAAGCGTCATACGCAAAACCCCTATTAGTCTAGACATAAGCAGCTTAGTAGCATAATTTTAGTTTAATGTTAAACAGTTAAAAACAGTTACAAACTGAAGGATTAGAACACATTTTAGTGTTGCATATTTACAATTTTTATTTCACAAAAGAACATGCCTAGAAGTTGAAGAGTAGGTGTTTATTTACAAAGTTTTGTCTTAAAAATGTACATGATATTTGTGTGTAAAAAGGTGCATGTCATTTATTATACACGTAGGTTTAAGAAATATTTAGGAACATAGTAGAATGTAGAAAATGTTTTTAAATCTTTGGGATCTTGACTTTTCAGAAAATATATGTTTCTAAATGAATATTGAATTCACTACTGAATGAATTTGGTAATCGTGTTTCATCATTATATAGGCAAATGAGGCCGACAAAACACACTTGGGTAATTTATAAAACTGGATAAAAGAATATATATATGTCTATAACCCATAACAATCAATTAGAATTCAGCAGTTTATAAAAATAAAAGTTGAGTTGATGGGTTGCTATGAGCAAAGTATACGCCTTTATCCATTTTTAATAAATGTATTTGGGTGATTGACGTAAATAATAAACAATATAAATACCTCATCTACATCACTGGCCCATTTCATTATATGCTGGTAGGAACGCTCACTTGTTATGTCGTACACCAAAAATATTCCCTAAAGCAAATGCAGAAAATAGAATTAGTGACACAAATTTAAAGCAAGATCTTAAATATGACTTTTAAATTACTGCACAGAACTGGAGTATTTTCTCACTACTCAAGTAATATGTTCTTTTTTCACATTAAACATCATTTAATTCAGTGTAATGTAACTGTTAAATAAACATGAGCTCCATCAAAACTTTGTTAGTAAATATATATATATATACATACATATACATACATACAATGGCTAACATCACCTTTTAACTGCCGCTGTCTTGGCTGTATGGGAAGGTTATAAGCTACTGATTAATTACTGATATAACATTAAACAGTAATAAAAAGTGATATGTTCTTGTTACTTAGCAGCCATTTAGACTCTCAGGAAGTTGGCAGAGGTAGGTTTCTGAAAGCTCATAATCTTTGGCAGGCCATTCTATGCATTACAAACACATTCACCTTCTTAGTCGAGGCACAGGCTGACTGAGAACATGAAAACCTGACTGCTGCAGAAATAAAACCTCTGCTTCGTACATAGAGGGGAAAACAGGTTTACTGGGATCTTCCCACTTTCCCTCATTGCACGGTTACCCCCCCTCTTCTCTGACAATCAGAAATTTGTGTATGTATGCATTTATGTTTTTACTCATTTTCAGATACCTTGTTTTTTTTGGGACCCATACCAGCAGTTCTTGTATTCTCGCCTAGGCAAGAATAAAATCCTAATCACCCACAGTCACCTGGGATACCGACATCACGCATCTTAGGGTGCCACATGGTGCTCTTCAGAGCCTCCCTGCTTCTAGCCTTGGTATACTATGATGAGCAATATCAAGGCTCCCCAGCTGACTGTTGTAGGGGAGGCAAAATACAGCTGCACTAGGGGTGCATGAAATCTGGCCTTTAATCGAACCTTTCCTAAATCTGTACACAACTGAACAAAAGAGTTGTGTTAAAAAAAAAACTAAATCTGTCAATGTACGATCCACTTTCAAATCTCATATTAAATTCACTCTGACATAGCCATTTGTAATAGTGACAGTATGTATAACATCAAGACCTCCTGACAGTGAAAGCCCCAAATCATATGATTTCTTCAGCTGGCTATCCAGCAACATGAATATTGAAAGGTCAAACTGATTTATAAACGCCTCCATAGTGTAAAACGAAAAAAAAAAAAGGCATGTAGAAAACAATGGGGGTTCCGAGAAAGGGGGCGTGCCCCAGAAACATGTAAACCGAGACCACACAGGGGCAGTGGACGCTGATGCTGCACATCTTTTCAGACTTCCGCTGCTAGATGATTTGACATCCCATTGTTTTCTACATGCCTTTTTACTAACGACTTCTTGTAAGTACAATACAGTTGTGCGTTTTTATCATTAACATTCGTTTTATACTATGGTGGTGCTCCTTTTTGTTTTTTGTCTCTCAGATTGAAGGTCCTTTGACCTGTGGGAGCTGCCTCTTCAGTGTGTTCGTTACCATTGCAACTGGCCGATATTGCACGTGGAGGTGCCGGTATTGTTGCCTGTCACTTGATTTATAAACGCTTAAAGGGTTATTCAAAGGAGGGTGAAGAGCTTGGAGAAGGCAGGAGAAGTGAACAATCTAGGACAACATAGCTGAACTTGAAAATCAGCTGAATTGGAGAATATTTCCAAATCAGCTATGTTGTCCTAGATCAGTTGCCGCCAACCGGTAGTCCGTGGATCACAAGAAAATGTTGTTGGTCCCCGGGCCCCTCTGATGCAGTGCAGGCTGGGCCGTCATTGAAGCGACACGGAGGCCCCGGGGCTGCCTCTCACTGACTCAAGCAGCGGCTGTCACAAGGAATGCGCGGCTCTCAGTACAGTGCGGGCTCTGCATGAGGCGGGGCATCTCGTCAGTACCTGGACTGAGCAGGCTGCGGGACATAGAAAAAGTGGGGAGTAGCCAGGTAATAGTGGCTCAGTGTTTGGGAAAGGGAGGCACGGTGGTGGTTGGGGGCAGTGCTGAAGCTAGGGGATGCATGTATGTATATATAAATATATTCTCGTGTGTGTGTCTGTGTGTCCGTGTACATGTACATGAGACACATATTTTGCATCTCATTTGGAAACCAAGGACCCAGAGTATGGAGGAAGAATTGAGAGGCACACACTGCAAGATTCTTGAAGTCCAGTGTGAAGTTTTCACAGTCTGTGTTGATTTGGGGAGCCATGTCATCTGCTGGTGTTGGTCCACTGTGCCTCATTAAGTCCAGGGTCAACGCAGCCATCTACCAGGAGATTTTGGAGCACTTCATGCTTCCTTCTGCAGACGAGCTCTATGGGGATGCCAACTTAATTTTCCAGCAGGACTTTGCACCTGCCCACACTGCCAAAAGCACCAAAACCTGGTTCAATGACCGTGGGATTACTGTGCTTGATTGGCCAGCAAACTCGCCTGACTTGAACCCCATAGAGAATCCATGGGGCATTGACAAGAGAAAGATGAGAGACCGAACAATGCAGAAGAGCTGAAGGCCGCTATTGAAGCATCCTGGTCTTCCATAACACCTCAGCAGTGCCACAGGCTGATAGCTTCCATGCCACGCCGCATTGAGGCAGTAATTGCTGCCAAAGGGGCCCAAACCAAGTACTGAGTACATATGCATGCTTATACTTTTCAGAGGTCCGATATTGTTCTATGTACAATCCTTGTTTTATTGATTGCATGTAATATTCTAATTTTCTGAGATTGTGGATTTGGGGTTTTCATGAGCTGTAAGCCATAATCATCACAATTATGACAAATCACGACTTGAACTATCTTGCTTTGCATGTAATGAGTCTATCTCATATATGAACTTTTGCACGATATTCTAATTATTCGAGTTTCACCTGTGTATATATACATACATACATACATACATACATACATACATACATA